TTTGACCGAGGTGCGGGGTTGATACTGAATCTCGTATTGTCCTAATTCGATGGCCCATTTAACAATTCGTCCTGACGCAGTAGGTTGGCCTAGGGTTTGCCGAAGTGGTAGACTTGTACGGATTACCATGGTATGCGACAAGAAGTAAGGCCGGAGTCGTCGCGTAGTGAGGACCAGTGCATACGCTATTTTTTCGACTTCAGAATATTTGCTTTCCGACGTAGTAAGGATTTTACTAGTATAGTAGATCGGCTTTTGCTGGTTATTCACCTCTTTGAACAAGACCGAGCTGATTGATTCGTCGCCTACCGACAGGTATACGAACAGAGTTTCACCCTTTTCAGGAGTGCTAAGAATCGGTAGGCAAGTGAGGGATCGTTTTAAGCGTCGAATGCGAGCTGGCACTCGATGGTCCATTCGAACTGAGCTGTTTTCCTCAATATTTTAAAGAAAGGTAGACTCTTATCAGCCATCCGTGATATAAACCGAGCTAGAGCTACTACCTTTCCTGCTAAGGATTGAACTTCTTTGATGGAGCGAGGGGGTGTCATCTGGAGTACGGCCTCAACCTTATCCTAGTTCACTTTAATACCTTCTCGATTAACGACATATCCCAGGAACTTTCCAGCTTGTACTGCAAACGCACACTTCGCGGGGTTCAATTTCATTCCGTATAGACGAAGGGTGGCAAAGGTCTCAGCTAGATCTGCGAGGTGCGTGGAGCGCCTTTCGCTCTTAACTAGCATGTCATCAACGTAGACTTCGATGTTGCGTCCGAGTTGAGCCCGAAACATTCTATCCATCAATCGCTGATACGTGGCCCCTGCATTTTTCAAACCGAAAGGCATTACCACGTAACAGTAAGTACCCGTGGCTGTGACAAAACTCACTGCTGGCTGATCCTTTTCGTCTAGCGGAATCTGATGGTATCCTTGCGAAGCATCCATCATACTAAGTAGTTCGCACCCGGCAGTGGCATCTACAAGTTGATCTATGCGAGGTAAGGGATAATCGTCCTTTGGGCAAGCCTTGTTTAAGTCCCTGAAATCAATGCACATTCGCCACTGGCCGTTGGCTTTCTGTACTAAAACTGCGTTGGACAGCCATGTGGGGAATTGGATTTCCCTGATATGTCCGATGTCCAGAAGTCGCTGAACCTCCTTGTGTATGATTTCGTCTTTTTCGGTACCGAAGTGCCGCCGTTTTTGTTTGACGGGTCTGCACTCAGGTCGCAAATTGAGCCTGTGCACAACAGTACGAGGTGAGATACCGGTTAGGTCACTTGGTTGCCATGCGAAGATGTCTTCATTAGATCGTAGTAACGCTATCAGCTCGTCTCGGAGAGGTGATTCTAAATCCTTGCTTATCCGGGTTTGCTTCATCATACCGGGGACGAGGTCAATCATCATCAATTCGTCCATAGGTTGTACATGATTAACCTTATCTTCTGGGTCAATTCGGGGGCGTTTCTCGTCCCCCAAATCTTCTTTGGTGAGGGTATCGCGTCGCCCTTTCTCTGCTATCTTAACCATTTCGACATAACATGATCTCGACTGGGCTTGATCTCCTCTGACCTCTCCTACCATTCCATCGACTGGGAACTTGAGCTTTTGATGAATAGTCGAAGGGACCGCCCGAAAGGTATGCATCATTGGTCGTCCTATTACGATGTTATACGAAGTCGGCGATCCTTCCACGATGACAAAATTAACAGCTTGGGTGCGGGTTCGAGGTGGCGTTCCTATAGTGACAGGGATTTTAACCTGTCCAATTGGTGTTAGGGATCCTCCTGTGAATCCGAATATCGGAGTGGTGACGGGGAAAACTGGGAGATCGAGTTCCATTTGCAGGAAGCACTCGTAAGATATGACATCCACTGAACTCCCTGGATCGACGAAAGCGCGGGCGACGTCATATCCTCCGACATTAATCGTGATGAGGAGAGGATCGCAGTGGAAATCTTCCAGTCCCTCTTCGTCTTCGGGACCGAATGAAATAGTGGGGTATTGATGACACTTTGATGTAGAAATTTGGCAAACTTCGCGTTGGTTCTTAAGACTACCGAGATGGCGTCTCCTAGCCCGGTGCGTATCTCCCCCCGTAGGGCCTCCTGAAATCATCTGAATGAATCCCCTTTTCGGCATTGGCGGCGGGGGCGGGACTCGCGCCGGATTTCCGAACTGAGCTTCGCGCTTCTGTCCCCGAGGGGGGTCTATCTTCACAAAATCTCCAATCTTATTATCTCTGATGAGACGTTCTACTTCATCTTTCAGATGCGCGCAATCATCAGTCGTATGTCCGTATTCGTTATGAAAACGACAAAAGGTTCCCAGTGCCGGATCTCGGCGAGGTGCTTCTCGAGCGGTCCGAGGCCATCGCAAATCAGCCCTCTTTTCGATTGCACATAACACATTGGACAAAGGGGCCGTAAGAGGCTGGTACGATTGATATCGAGATCCCTTAGCATCTAGAGCGGTGGCTCGACCAGTGCCGACGCCGGGTATTGCATCTCTTCGGGGCAACATGGGCTCCTTACTTTTCCTGGTTTCGTTGGCTCGCGCATTCAGTGTCTGGAGAGATTCCTCTACTTTCTGTTGTCGAGCTTCTTCAAGATTGATGAATATGGATGCTCGTTCCAACAAATTGTCGAAATCAGGTGAGGGTTCCAGCGCCAGGGCTCGAAAGAACTCATCATCCCTTAATCCTTGTGAAAGAGCTGCCATAAGCACTTCGTCGCTCGTGGTGGGGACCTCCAGCGTGGCCGAAGTGAACCGTTTGATATAGTTCCGCAAACTTTCTTTCTCTTTCTGGCGGATGCTGAACAGCGACAGCGAGGTCTTTTTGCACTTCTTCGAGCTAGCGAATTGATTCATGAAGGCCTTAGCAAACTGTCCAAAGGAATGTATACTCCCTGGCAGCAACAAACCGAACCAGGCCTGAGCCGGCCCAGCTAAAGTGGTGACGAAGGCGCGGCACTTCACCCCCTCTGTGAGCTGGTGGAGCGATGTTGTGTTGTTGAACCGACTCAAGTGCTCGGCTGGATCTGACGTGCCGTTATATTCGAACAGGATTGGTCGGTAATTAGCTGGTATGGGGTCGTTATCGAGATGCCTAGCGAAGGGGCTAGATCCCGCGAGATCTCGTGTTGGTCCGTTCCGCAGAGCTTTTAACTCATCCATATCGCGCCTCAGGCTATCAACCTCCGTCCTGACGCCATGACTGTTGCCTTCTCGATTCTCAGAATAGCTGTCGCACTCATCCTCAGCTCGCCCTTCATTCGGGGAACGCCTGAGGTCTCTCCTAGGCCGGTTATCCTGAGGTAAGGTTTGAGTGTAGTTCCGAATGGCTGCGGTGATCATGGTCTCCACTTCGTCTCTGGTGTATGTGCGCTCATTGGGGGTTTGAGTCGGGGCCGTGACTGGTTTTCTTGAAGCAGCTTCACCACTCTGGAATTCGAAAGAGGGGCTACCCGCGACGAACGGAATCCGACTCTCCTTTCCAGGCGTAACCAAGCTGCACCCTGACTTGTCCTTTAAGACAGAGGATGGATCAGCAGTGGGCGTATCGCGAGCTGCTGCATCTAATTCTTTCTGCAGATTCCGGGCAGTGGTATCTCCTTCTTCCATTGTTCTCTACGTTTATAGCTCAGATCTGGACTTCCGGGGGCAGATCTGATTTTTCCCGGAAGTTGTTTCCCGAAACTTCTAGATCTTTCCCACAGACGGCGCCACTTGATTTAGTCCGTGGGGCTTCCTTCTTCTTCAAAGCAACTTGGTCCGTACTCCGGTGAGAATGCCTGCAACGCCGGGAGGGGTTCCCGGCGGGAAAGCTCCGACGATCAAGTCAGTGATCGGAATAAAGGAAAAATGTGTATGCAATGTAATAGTAATTAATGTATATTCTTGTGTATGCGTGTGTTTGAAGATCCTTCTATTTATAGATGAGGAAACCTTGGTTCCCAAGGTTTCCTTTTTAGGGTTTTCTCCCCCCTCAAGTCAAGTATTTGAGCCTTCTCTTAATGGGCCTGTCTTGGGCCATGGTTATGTCGGGGTCCGAGTTATGGCTCTGCCAGCTCGTTATCCGAAAGTCGCCGTCTGGCATCGGACCTTATAATAACTTATCTTTCCTGAGCTTGCATTGTGCTCATCTCGTCATAATGACCCGTATCAGCAACTTTGGAGAAATTTACTACAATCGAAGATCATTGCATGATTGTAATGTTTCAACTCCACAAACGTTCAAAAACTTGCAAAATTAGAGTTGGGCGATTTTGTTGTTGCTAATTTTCACCTCAATTGGATAGTTCGCAAAGGGAATTTAGGAGTAGGGTGTACGGGTTTATAAGGAATTATGGAAAATTAGAGAATTCAGAATAGAAAATAGGCGCATAGAATGACTTGTCACTCTCCATCTTATATTTAATCTCTTAAACAGACCGAGGGTCTGTTTCAGCTTAACTTTTAACTGCTAGATAGACGTCACATGCGCCGCACGTTACAATTTCGTCCAACTTAACAGGAATACTTGACGGCGGAACCAAAAATGTCAAAAAATGAGTTAAAGACCAAATTTCGTGGCGGCAAAAGTGTGAGGACTAAAATTGTTTAAGTAGTGTAGTATAGGGACAAAAACTATAACTATCCCTTAGTTACTCATTTTACAATTTCACTATTATTTCAAACAAAAATAATGTATACATACATTGAGAAGTACAATGAAAATGTCGGAGAGAGCAACGAAGTAGAAGTAGCTTACTCATTAAAAATAAGATCGAAACCAAGTTTGGACAAATTAAACAGACGGCCCTAGAAAAACATTCATCATAACTTCGATGCAACTTCACTATTTCGCCAAAGTGGCTTCAGCCCTTTTTCTCAAAAAAGGTACAATATTATTATCAGTTCAACTAAGATCTCAAAATATATATATGCAACCAAAGCTATAAATAATAGTAAGTGAGTAATGCTTCTAAGTTCTTCTGCCTCGCAGATATTTGTTTGCAAGACAAAATAATAAATTCTTCCTAGGAAAAAATGCCTTTCGTACTACAAATTCTTCTCGCATTATAGAATGATATAAAAGAGAAACACTCTACCGACATTTCCATTTTTTTAATCACTTTGAGTCGACATTCGCCCGTTTTGATAACATTGTAATTCCAGCCTCCAAATCGCTTAACGTGATTGTCAATAGTTCATCGCCTATCGAATCCAAATTCAGCCTCGAATCAAGATTTTCTCTAGCATTGTTCAGCATATGATCCACCAAACCTCCATTCATTTTACTCCGCAACTGCTCCGTGGAGTTGTTCTGTATCACTTGAAGAACAGCGTCACAAGTACATGAAGGATGGAGTTTAAACCCGTAAAGTCGGCTCCTTTCGTCTTGCTTAGTCATCTTCAGCATCAGCATCTGCGCAAGATCCTTACACGTAAAATCATCAAATTGGAAAAAGTTAGTCACTCTTCTGCACAATCCTTGGTTTGAAGACAAGGCGAGCTTCATCGGCTCGGTATAGCCTGCAAAAATGACGACAATATCCCCATCTTCCAACACGGACATAATCTCTTCCAACGCTTCCACACCAAAGTCCTTGTAGTTACCTGTCCTCTGCGTAGGTACTAATTGATATGCTTCATCCACGAACAAAATACCACCCATAGCCTCTACAATCTGCAATCAAACATCAATCGGTATAACAAAAACATTAACAAAACGGAATTTCGTGAATCATCATATATAAATGACTCCATACTTTTTTTCTAGTCTTGGGTCCCTTTTGACCAATGTACTCTCCTACCAAATCGGTTCTTTGTACTTCTATCACTTTATCAGAAGAAAGCACACCAATAGACTGGAGTAGTTTCCCTAAGATCCGAGCTACCATTGTCTTGCCTGCATTAAATCTCATTTAAAATTTAAAAAAAAAAACCGAAAGATTGGAATAATAAGATGCCAAAGTACAACCTGTCCCGGGATTTCCAAGAAATACCATGTGAGGTTGTTTTCTTGGTCCAAGATTTGTCCCCATGGCTCGACGCTTGTCGTCCATGACTATACCCTTAGCCCATGTCTTGAACTGAAGTTTGAGGTCATCCAATCCCACTATCTTCGACAGTTGATCTTCAAACTCATCCAACTTCCCTTTTATTTTACTGACATCATTCTTCGCCTCGGAGCAACTCTTTTTATTGACTTGATCTACAGGTTTCTGATTTGGCTCGGAGGAGCCCCTTTTTTTGTTACTTTCATTTACAGGGTCCGCGTTTGCATAGGCAGCCGGTCCTGTAGAATTGTTAGTTCGATTAATTACAGTGATCGCACCTGTAGTGTCCTCTAAAAATATAAGCTTGATGTGCAACTATATTTTGGCCGACGAGTTTCATCAATTCTTCATTTTTTAGGCCTGCTCGAAGATACTTGAAAGGAGTCATTCCCTTCTGCACATGATAATAATAATAATAAGTTCAATATCAACAAAAATACGATCTAGCTAGGACAAGTTGAAGTGTTATCAAACTGTATATTTCATACACTGTCTTTTGCCGAGCAATCGGCTTTGTACTCTAACAACGTTTTCACGATCGAGTTTTGTCCAGATTTTTGTGCATAACTAACAGCAAGATGTAATGGAGTCATCGACTTCTGCGAGAGTTAGGTGCAAATAACAAAGAGTCAAACATTTACTTGGTTATACATAATGAACCAAATTTGGATATATATATTTAAAAAAAAGATAGAGAAAATAACACATTGGTTCTTGCATCCACATTGGCACCAGATTCGAGAAGCATCTTGGCTGCGTCGTTACTTCCATTCTTAGCTGCAACGTGCAATGCGGTCTCCCCTTTCTGTGCAATATATATACTCAAAACAAAATTAATGGACAAGTATATATAAGATTAAAAATCGTTGAATTATAACAATTAACATATCGATTTAATTATTATACATACAGCATTCTTAGCTTCCAAATTAACTTTCTTCGCTCCTGCCGGGTCGAGCAAACACTTCAAACTATCAACTATGTTCTGACCAGCAGAACTATGTAACGTCGCCCGCACCATCTGCCACCCGATAATACAAATAACTATACATTACACTCCAAGAACCGACAAACCGTAATTTGTAACAAGAGTAACTACATTGTTGTACATGGTAACCTCAAGTGCAACAGCATGATATATATATATATATATATATATATATATATATATATATATATATATATATATATATATATATATATATATATATATATATATATATATATATATATATATATATATATATATATATATATATATATATATATATATATATATATATATATATATATATATATATATATATATATATATATATATATATATATATATATATATATATATATATATATATATATATATATATATATATATATATATATATATATATATATATATATATATATATATATATATATATATATATATATATATATATTCTTTTGATTTAAAAATCACATAATTAACCAGCATAGGAGTACACCTCGCATTTAGAAATGTACACAAGAATACATATAGAGTTAGTTACCTGAATGATGTGGATGATGAACTAATCGATCACGAAATCTCAACGCGCTGGTATCCGAACCTACGCCGATAAAAATTAAGATTGAAATTTCTTGTTGAAATAATATAAGACTGTGCTTAAGTAATATTAAATCCAACATGCAGACTGCAGCATATAAATTATTTAAAATCTAACTTAATAAGTAGTAGCATTATTATAAGTAATCAACAGATTTTTATTACATGAACACACGTCCTAAACACACACACACACACACACACACACACACAGTATATATTTAGTTTCCTATATATTATCATAGTTGAATGATAAAAAATATTTCAAATAGTCAAAGTAATGTTACCCTGTTGTCAACCCTTTTTCCTTCTTCATAATTCTTTTGAAAGTCTTAAGAATTCATTCTTCAGCCGCCTTCTTCTTCTTCTTCTCTCCTTCTGTTATTTCATCTATGTGCGGCTTTTATTGAAACTCAGCCTATTATATTTAGGGTTTCGATCCCTCAAAATGGACCATAATTAACTTTTGGCTTAATTCCATTTTGTATCCTTGAAATATATCTTATTAATAAAATGTAAGAAAAAATTCCCGCTCATTTTTTAGGTTAAATTGTCAGATTATATGAGATTATTTTATGGATATTTTTTTTAATTAATTCAACTAGCATTTTTCTCCCATGGGATGAAAGTATTTCAAAAATGAAAATAATGATTAGTTTAATACACGATAATAGCAATTATAATAAAATCTATTAGTGATATCGGTACAACACTAATATTTATACAAATTTAATAATACAAATTCATTCCGAAAAAAATATATGAACTTAACTATCATAAGATCAAATTGATCATTAACTCATTTCGAAAAAAGATATAAAATTGATTATCATAATATGAAATTGATCATTAAATAAATAAAGTAAAGAAGAAATAGAAAAAATAGACTAGAAAATAGGAAATAAAATAATAATAACAATTAAAAATATATAGTGTTGTGGATGAGGATGTGCTAGTGGAGATTTGGTGTGAAGTAATGAGTAAAAAAATTGACTGCAAACTAGAAAATATATATATATATATATATATATACACGAAAAATATTGTTTTTGTACAAATATGCCATTAGGTTGACCTCATATTTTTTTTTCCTTTTATATATAAGATATTCGAAATTTTGGAGGCTAATAAATAGGAAATCTTAAAAAAAAATAGAATGATTCATGAAATCTCTCCACAACCCTATATGCATACTTCCGAAAATCCATTATATTCATTATATTAACAGATTTCCCGAAAAATCTATATATTTCGTTAAAATCAACACATATGCATCATCGTTGACTGCTTAGGTACTGGTGGTGGCAATGAAGCTGCGGAGTGAGATCGTGAGTCTAGGCACATCGTGGCTCCACCTGACGTGTTAATCGCCCATGCTGATCTGACAAAGAATGCGGAGCGCGGTTCCCACGCTAAAGGGAAACGACACAGTGCAGAGGAGGAGACTCCCGAGCCGTTTCAACCGGGGGCAGAGAACATATATTCGAGTACGGTAGCATTAGCAATGGAGTGGAAACGTTATGGGACATCGCTTTGGCTAGGACAAGAAGGTTGATTGGGGAGCGTGTTGAAGAAACTTGTAGGGGTGCTAACTGACACGATGAAGAGGATGATGTGCCGGGTGAGTGTTGGCTTTATGCGTCGTACTTTTATTAGTTCCACAAAATTTTTAACATATTTTTTTCTTTTTAAATTGCGTCGAGCTTCACTTTCTCCAACCTTTTAGCCTTCAGGTCTCCTTTCACTAGAATGATGTTGTATCACACACTTTGGTGGATTAAACGGGAACACAAGGGTAGGCCTCTGCACGCGAGTAAATAATCTAACCACGCAAGGATGAACACATGAGTCTCAAACCTGCAAGACTAAAACATGTGAACTAAGCTAGGGGTTGATCCGGTGGAAACCACTGCGACGCTCAAGTCATATGATTGGACAAAATGTAGGGTATAGAGCACGAAATCAATATAACTTCAAGATATTTGTTAGTACGTAAATTTTACAATGTGCCTGAGGTCTTATTTATACTTAATTAGCGGTAGATATAATATAAGTCTATAATGTTAAAACTTAATTAATATAACGGATCCAAATCCTTAGCTTAATGGGCTTGGATCATTATATTAATTTATTTCTGTCTTGGGCCTTTATTTTGCCGGTCCAATATATGTAGATATAATGGGCTCATTTGAGGCCCAATTAGGTGTATCAATAAAGTACTAAAATTATATGTTGCAATTTTTCCGATTGTTCATCTCCTTCCATCCAAATTGTGAACTATTATTTATATTTTATAAGAATCGACAAATTGATCTTCTATGTGTTGTCGAACTCAAAACACCAATTTATCTAGGAATATGAGAAAGGGCTAAATACTCTATTGTTATTGTGCTGTCATGGTATATTCTATTTGATATAAAAACATTGTTTTTTTAAGAAAAATGAACAAATATATGATTGTTAGAAATTAAAAAAATAATTAAGTGAACTTGTAAAAATAATAAAAATAGAAGAAAGTTGTTGTTGAAGACAAAGAATATTCCCGACCTTCTGAATATTCTCATTTTTAGTTTTAGGGCTCCCTATTTTGCCCGCTTTGACAGAACTTATAGTCTTGTCGCCTTTTTTCACTTCGGCATTTGCTATATCTTCCAGATGATAGCTTTTTGTAGGTTTGCTATCACTCTGTTGATTCCTTTTATTTGCTATTTAGGCTACTTTTTGGCCGTTGACACCCTGTATGATCTTTACTGATTCTTTCGATTTATGATAATGAGAGGACCATTGTCTAAGTCCCCCAACGCATAGCGGAATTTCGGTTATTAAAAACGAAAAAAAAAAGTAAAGACACCGAAGAGGGAGTTATAGGTAGTAAAATGGGTAAACATTTAAACCTCTATAAATTAATACTATTGGAACCATTAAAATTCCATTAATTTAGCGAAGTATTAACTTATCGATAAATTAATAATTATTAAGTTATATAATAATTATTAATTATTAATTTATACATTAATTAATAACTTAATAATTTATGAAATTATTTAATTTTATTATTATTTTCAATAAATACATTTTTTTTAATCTTTTTACATGTATATTATTCATTGTACTATTAATTCAAAGCACTACAGAGCCCGTTTCACGAACGGAAGCTCTTAAAGCAGCAATGATATTGAACAATTTTCTGTTGAGTTATGAGAAAACTATACCTGAAGTTCTAACCATGTTAAGAAAAGTGAGGGATGAGATTGATGACAATGTGCACTTCATCAAGGAACAAGCGACAGTTAAATTATATTTTATTAAGCCTTCATAGATATATTAAATATGTACTATACCATGTAGTTTAAGAATTATTTTTATGTTATTAATTTATATATTATATGGGGCTTCTTAAAATTTTCGAATGTGTATTATGTTATAAATTTAGCAAATTATTAATTTAGCACGTTGTCTCGAGTCGGGGTCGGAAAAATTTATTATTTAAGTAAGTTTATTAATTTATCGGGTATTAATTTATCGAGGTTCTACTGTAATAGGTATAAACTGAAACTCGGGGAATAATATTTGAAGGTTTTGATAGTATAAGAGGTAAATGAATATTACCCATTAGTACAAGAGCGGTAAGTGAAAGTAACCCCATATATATGAAAATAAATAAAAACACTATTTGTGGATTAATAAATAATAAAATGAAAAATTAGTTGCTCACACACATTCTCATTCAAAGTTATTGCATAAAAACTGGTTTTTAAGCATTAACTCTAAGATATAAGGGTGCAATGAGATTTTATAAAAAATAATATGAGGGGGTAATAGCTAATTTTTATTCGATATGGATCGATTGCCATTTCACAGATACACCGATTGTAATTAGCTCTCCAGTATAACTTTATGTGTAATATAGAAATATCTTTCATTTGCCCAGAGTCTTAACACAACAGAATTCACAGCTGTTAAGCTTTAACAGAATAGGGCAATTTCAAGCACATATATTTTGGGAGTATTATAGCAATTTTGATGCTCTTATAATATGAATCTAACAGGCTATTATTTTTCTTATTTAATGCTCTTACAATATGAATCTTTTAGTATTTCTTTGGAAGTAGTTAAAAGATGATATGTATACACAGAAACTGACTTTTCGATCCGTTATTTCTTTCAGTCGATATTCACTTGTTGGGATAACATTTGAAGTCCAACCTCCAAATCACTTAACGTGATTGTCACCAATTCATCAAATTTCGCGTCAAAATTCATCCTCGAATCCAGATTTTCTCGAGCATTGTTCAGCATATGATCCACCAAACCTCCATTCATTTTATTCCGCATCTTCTCAGTGGAGTTCTTCTCTATCACTCCAAGAACATCGTCATAAGTACACAAAGGATGTAGCTTAAACCCGTACAACCGGCTCTTGTCGTTTTGCTTACTCATCTTTAGAATGAGCATCTCCGCAAGATCTTTGCATGTAAAATCATTAAATTGGTAAAAGTGAGTCACTCTTCTTGTGAATCCCGCGTTTGAAGAGAACACACGCTTCATCGGCTCTGTATAGCCCGCAAAAATGACCACAATTTTCCCATCTTCCAACACGGACATAATCTCTTCCAATGCTTCCACACCCAAGTCTTGGGAATGACCTTGCAATCGCACAGGTACTAAACGGTATGCTTCGTCCACGAACAAAATCCCACCCATAGCCTCTTCAATCTGTAATCAAACATCAATCGGCATAAGAAGAACACTAACAACGTACATAACAAAACCGAATTTCATGAATCATCGTAAATGAGTCCATACTTTTTTTCTAGTCTTGGGTCCAGTGCGACCCATATACTCTCCTACCAAATCAGTTCTTTGTACTTCTATCACTTTATCAGAAGAAAGCACGCCGACAGATTGGAGTAGTTTGCCTAAGATTCGTGCTACGGTGGTTTTGCCTGAACAATAAATAGTTGAAGATGCACGCGGTAAATTTCATTAGAAGATAGGGGATTAACGAAATTAACACGCGACATTAAACTATCACTAGTAGAAAATTTGCTTATTACTACGAATTTGTTTGCTACGGTGAAAAACCGTAATAAAAGGTACTTTTTACTACGGAACAATTTTGAAGTCGTAGTAAATACTAGGATTACCGTAGCAAAAAAATATTTGGTACGGCCATTTACCGTAGCAAATGCGTAGCAAAATCATTTTTACTACGAATTTGATACCTTTTGCTACGATTAATGATCGTAGTAAAAAGCCATTTTTCTACTAGTGTATTACCTGTCCCGGGATTTCCGAGAAATACCATGTGAGGTTGTTTTCTTGGTCCAAGGTTTATCCCCATGGCTCGACGCTTCTCATCCAAGAGCATTCCCTTCGCCCATTTCTTGAACTGCGTTTTGAGGTTACACAATCCCACTATCTTCGACAATTCATCTTCAAACTCCTCCATCTTTGTTTCTTCCAAATTTTCAAGGCGCATTTTTTTGTTAATTTGATTTACATTGTTCTGATTGGCGTTGACAATTTGTCCCATATAATTGTTAGTTTGACATGCAACGATATCTTGGCAGAGTAATCTCAACAATTCTTGATTTTTTAAGCTTGCTAGCAAATAATTGAGAGGAGTCATGCCCTTCTGCAAAAATGATAATAATAATAATAATAAGTTCACTATATATATATATATATATATATATATCAACAAAATCATGAAACTCCGAACAATATTGAATAGAAACATTTGATACATTGTCTGTTGCCCAGCGATCCGCTTTGTACTCTACCAATGTTTTCACGACCAAGTTTTTTCCAGATTGCATTGCGTAACTAACTGCAAGATGTAATGGAGTCATCGAGTTCTGCTAGAGAAAATAAATAAGAGTAACATAAATTAAGTTAGTTTATACATAATGAACCGAATTTAGATCCAAGTACATATATTTAACAAAAAATATATAAAATAGCACATTTGTTCTTGCATCCAAATTGGCACCAGAGTCGATAAGCATCTTGACCGCCTCATTACATCCATTCCTAGCAGCAGTGTGCAATGCTGTCTCACCGTTCTGTGCAAAACGAAGAAATATATATAAGAAGAATTTTTTGAGTTGAAACGAATAACAATTCATTAACCGATTTCTTCTACGTACGGCATTCTTTGATTCCAAATCCAATTTCAGCCCTTCTTTCTGGTCGAGAATGTACTTCAATAGGTCAACTCTATTCTCGCTAGCAAGAGTTTGTAACTCGATCAGTATCATTTTCACCTGAGAAATTAAAACAGTGAGTATATATCTTAGTACAATCTGCCGTCACTCCATAGAGATAAATCCACTAATTTTCAAAAAAATATTCCGAAAATTACAAGTACAACTTAACATGAAATTATCCCAAATCAGCATTCCTAACCACAATTTTACATCACTCATCAGAAAATTAATTAATTGTTACATCCCATAAAAATACAAATATTTAAAATAAACTTGTAGGACATAAAAATTTCAAGCAGACTGAGATGTACTATGGCTACATATATCCTCGAAATAAGGCCAAACAACATTAATCCTTCACAACGCACGTAATCCCATTAACGAAAAAGGGACGAAGTCACATAATTCGTTCACGAATAAGGTACAACTTAAGATTTATTCTTGAAATAATCTTAAATCACACATGCTAATCAAATTCATTATTCAACTATTCAATCTCCACATATATGCTACTTATCAATTAATTCTCTAACTAATTCATATTCTCATAAAACACCAACTCAATGCACTCTCACAGCTATGAAATACACACACTAAAAGATGCACACGGACACACTAGAATACACATAAAACACTGTCATGCATACACATACCAAGACACACATATTTTATAGATACAATAATACTTAGAATTTAATTGATTAAACTTTTGCGTTGTATATGTAACTATGATTAGTTGATATATTATATAGATACAATCCATTAATATTTAAGAATCTGAGATACAAACACAGTCTAAATATTATCCTTGTTAAAATTTCTTTTGAATTCTTAAGAAATTGAAAACTCTGAAAACCTTGATTTATTTACTGATGAAGAATTCTTTAACAGCCGGCTGCAGATATGCAAACAAGACTCGTAATCAATTGATTTATTATTTTTTTATTACGGAAATTTCTTAAATTTCCCTAATCATATTTTCGGAATTCTTTTAAGGTTATTAGTGAAAATCTACTCTAGTATTTTTTAAAGGGGTTTTTATGCAAAAGTCCCCAACCAAGCATGTTTATTATTTTAGGTTTACGGGACATATCTCTTTCACCAATAAGCCTATCCCTTTAATATTTATTATAACTAAAGGAAACATTCATGTATATATCCCAATATTATCCTCAACCATTTATACTCAATTCTTAATTGTAACCCCAATTTATCAATTTTGTCCACAAAAATTCAATTTTGACCACAAAAATTCAATTTTGACTGTTTTTTGGAGCATAATTTAATATGCTCCAATTTCATCCTTAACTTAATTTAACTTCAATTTGACCCCAAATTTCATAAATTATTCAATTTTGACCCAAAACGTTTTTTTTCAAAAACTTTTTTTTCCCGCCGGATTCCGGCGTTGACCGGCGGTCAACACCGGTCTCCGACGTTGACTTTTCAATTTTTTTTTTCTTTCTTCTAGATTTTTTCGCCGGATCGGTCAACGCCGGTCTCCGACGTTGACTTTTCAATTTTTTTTTCTTTCTTCCGGATTTTTTCGCCGGATTCCGGCGTTGACCGGCGGTCAACACCGGTCTCCGACGTTGACTTTTCAATTTTTTTTTTCTTTCTTCTAGATTTTTTCGCCGGATCGGTCAACGCCGGTCTCCGACGTTGACTTTTCAATTTTTTTTTCTTTCTTCCGGATTTTTTCGCCGGATTCCGGCGTTGATTTTTTTTTTTTTTTTTGGTTTGTTTTGTTTTTCCACGTCCGCCGCTAAACGTTGACCGTAATTGTGCTGTCACTGACAGTAAATTAACGTAATTATACTGTCAATGATAGTTAATTGACGTAATTGTACTGCCGTTGACATTACATTTATGTAATTTTGCTGCCGTTGACAGTAAATTAATGTAATATTATTATTTTTTATTTTTTATTGTTTTTTTTTTATTTTGTTTGATTTGTTGACAAGTCAACGTAATTATATTACTGTCGTTGACAGTAAAATAACTGTAAACACAATAATATTACTGTCAACAACATCAATAATATTATTTTTTTGGGGTTTTTGTTTTGTTTGAGTTATTCACGGAGTAACGTAATAATATTGCTGTCTATTATTGTAATATTACTGTAAACATAATAATATTACTGTGGTTGACGGTAATATTACTGTTGTTATAGTAATATTGTTGTCAACAACATCAATATTATTATTTTGTTTGGATTTTTTGTTTGTTTGAGTTGTTCACGGAGTAACGTAATAATATTACTGTCTATTATTGTAATATTACTATGGTTGACGGTAATATTACTGTTGCTATAGTAATATTACTGTCACTCACAGTAATATTAATTCTTTTGGTTTTTTTTTATTATGTTTACATTTGTTGAACGGTCAACATAGTAATATTACTTTATTACACAATAATAATGAGTTTTGTTGTGTTAATATTAATGTGCTAGAGATTAATATAGCAATATTACTGTGTTCAACTATAGTTTAGTTAATTTTACTGTGTTTAACAGTAATATAGTTAATATTATTGTGGTTGACGGTAATATTATTGTTGCTATAGTAATATTACTGTCACTCACAGTAATAATAATTATTTTGGTTTTTTTTTATTATGTTTACATTTGCTGAACGGTCAACATAGTAATATTACTTTATTACACAATAATAATGAGTTTTGTTGTGTTAATATTAATGTGCTAGAGATTAATATAGCAATATTACTGTGTCAAACTATAGTTTAGTTAGTTTTGTTGTGTTTAACAGTAATATAGTTAATATTACTGTCAATCACAGCAATATTGTTGTTTAAACGGAAAAAAAAGTTACAGAAAGTAAAAAAAAAAAAAAAAAAAAAAAAAGTCAACGCCGGAATCCGGCGAAAAAATCCGGAAGAGAGAAAAAAAAATAAAGTTGAAAAGTCAACGCCGGATTCCGGCGGGAAAAAAAAGTTTTTGAAAAAAAAAATTTAGAAAAAAACATTTTGGGTCAAAATTGAATAATTTGTGAAAGTTGGGGTCAAATTGAACTTAAATTAAGTTAAGGATGAAATTGGAGCATATTAAAGTATGAGAGGTTATTTTAGTCATTTACAAAAATCTGGAGCATGTATGGACTTATTGGTAAAGAAGATTTTTGTCTGGATCTCTTTATGGATAAGTACCCATTGGTGGGACCTATTTGTAATATGCCCTTTTTTAAATAAGGATGGGTCCAGACTTTTTTTAATTATTAGTAATAGGCCAATTTTTTCCTTTCAAATTTACTCTATTTACAATTCCCAACGCATTACCCACATGATGTTTTTTTTCATTATTTTTTTATTTTCATTCTATTTATTTAAAAAATAATATTCTCTTTTAAACAATACTAGTAACTCACCCGTGCGATGCACGAGATCAATTCTAATTTCAATTTTTTTAATGACTAAAACACGTATCGCACGGGATCAATTTTAATTTCAAATTTTTTAATGACTAAAACACGTCGATGATGTAAATCAAATATCTTTATTAATGAAAAGAGGATTCTAATGCGATGCACGGAGGTAATATAAAAAATAAAAATATGTTTTAAATAAAATAATCGAATAAAAACTTTGAATAGTTGATATATAATACGATATAATCTTAAAATAAAAACAATATCAAACCATTTGATTTGAGTACCGAGATAAACAAAATAAAAGATAATAGAAAATATAAAATACGAAAATTGTGATATAAAAAATAAGATATATTATCTGACCGGAATGATACAACTATCTCGTCCAATACACTCAGATATATCCTTAATATGAAACTTAATTATCAAAGTAGTGTTTCACGGCACATGCATTAACATTACCTACAACTCATCTAAGATCTTGCGAGTAACATGTACATTTTTCATTGTTTAAATTAAATGCAATCAATGATACACATTACTGAAACACAAATCACCTAAAAATATAAGAAATAAATACAATTTATACTAAATTACCTTGATTTAAAAAAATTAAGTGGAGTCGACAATAAAATTAGTATAAAATGCAAATAAACTTAACACGGTAAAATAATTATATATATCAATACTTCAAACAATAAATGCGTATTTGAATCACAATATACAATTTTTATGATGTACATTCACATTCCCTGAAAAACTTTTTTGTAGACAACAATGCAAGTAATATTAGTCGCATATTCTGGCTTGATGAATATTTTTATGCCACCTCTACTCTTAACTCTCCACATTGTGACGTATAATAGTTCATATCACCTCTAATACTAATATAATATTAATAATAATATTAATACTAATATCAATACTAATAGTAAACAAATATGAATACCAATACTAATACGAATAACCATACCGAATATCACCAGTATCAATACTAATAATAATACTTATAACAATACCAATACTAATATCAATATTAATACTAATACCAATACTAATACCAATTTTAAGACACTAACACTAATACTAACACCAACACTAACACTAACACTTAAACACTTACACTAACACTGATATTGATACTAATACTAATACTGATACTAATACTAATACTGATACTAATACTAATACTAATACTAATACGAATACTAATACTAATACTAATACTAATACTAATACTAATACTAATACTAATACTAATACTAATACTAATACTAATACTAATACCAAAACTAAAACTAAAACTAATACTAATACTAATATTAATACTAATACTAATACTAATACTAATACTAATACTAATACTAATACTAATACTAATACTAATACTAATACTAATACTAATACTAATACTAATACTAATACTAATACTAATACTAATGTGCTAATACAAATAGTAATAGTAATAGTAATAGTAATAGTAATAGTAATAGTAATAGTAATTGTAATTGTAATACTCATAGTAATAGTAATTGTAATTGTAATAGTAATAGTAATAGTAATGATGTAGTCTATTATAAATTATTTACGTATTTAAACAATAATTATATAAAATCATAAGTGATTCCATTTAGATATCGCAGAACTTAACAAATAATC